AAAATCCGCCAATAATGTAAAACAGTGGCGTGAAATTGTCAGTCATTCTAATATCTCCCAACCTGTGAACGAAAGGGTTAAGCGTGCTGCCTTGAAATCGCCTGCCAAAACTAAAATGGCGCGTGTCACGTGACTTTGTTTACTAAAGATAGCGTGGGCGTTTGATTGACACTCAACTCTCATTAGTATTCCACCAATCACAGCTACATCTACTTTCTGGATGTGCGCAGTCAAATTGTATAGGAGACAAGCTGGAGTCTCGTGTGGCGATAGCGATAACACCGGGACGAATGGTCTGGGGTACGTCTAAGCGGAAGATTATGCGCAACAGGTGACTAAATATGTAGCTCTGCGTTAGTGAATAAGTTGATAGTTTATAATTTAGCTTTACATGGGTTATTTGGAATACCTCTTCGCGGCAGATAAAATGTCTAAAATATATTTCATTTTACAGTGTCGGCTAAAATAAATTCAAAACGTTTACTTTTTAGATTAGAGGAGAAGTTTATAATGTCTATTCCATATTGCGTTTGTTAAATACTTTCTCATGTTACCACAAGATGACGCCCTTGATATTCTTACTAGGGCAAAACTATTATGACTGAAAGTTAAACTTTGAGCGAAAAAGCCCACAACCGTAAACCTAGCATTGACGCATTAAATGATAGGCTCCTATTCACCACATCATTACAATGGCATGTGATTGAATAGACCATTTTCCGTACACTGCGAGAATCACGCGTTATGCGTGAAATCGAACGTAAAAACAGGACAAACAAAGGTCATAGCGTCGTAGTCGCGTCAAACATCCCGTGGGATTCGACAAACGCGAAAGTATTTCGGGGACATTTCCATGCTTAATAATGTGCTGTCCACATTTGATGATAGGCAATTTCGATTAAGTGAGGGTATTCGGAAGCAATATTCCTCTGTCGAAGATCGGCCGGTCAATGTAAGCTGCGAAATAAAGAAATTCTAGTTCAAAATCAAATCGTTCGATTTTTGCGGCAGACGTTCGACGCGCGTCTTTCATGCATCTCGCGAGATCTCGCAATTGTTCGGAAAATCACCTATTAAACGCTAATATGAAGGGGGCATTCCCCCGCCTGGATTTGACATTTTAGACTTTATAGAAATATAAATCGTGCAACATTTTTTGTAACAGATTGGAGATTGGTAATCATGTGAATTGCAAATAAAAACACTGTTTTCCTGTTTGTTTGTGATTTTGAGTACTATTTCACTACTATTTCAAGAGCCATCTTCGAATTTTATTGAATTAATAATGAGCACATAGGCCAGCCTGATTAGTTCATCCTTTGTGATGAAATCTGAACATATTTATTACCTGTCCACTCATCTGCTCTATTAAATAACATGTGGATCGTAGTGGGAATGGTAACAACCTAGAAAACCCGTACTATTGTAGAGTTAGGGGGGAAAACGATGGGAAATGCCAGGAATAAGGTTACGAGACCAGAGAGATTTCTGGTTTACGACTTCGATAGAAATGAGACATGGGTGCTTCTGTGACGTCAATGATAGATCTTGTTCTGTGAGAAATTTACTTTTTTTTACTGTGGCAATGTAAATACAAAAGCGTTTCGGCATACTTTATATTAATAGCAATAGCCGGAAGCTGCTGGAGCTTTGATAGAGGGCGCTGTGAGGGTGACACTTGCCAGGCATTCTACACGTCAAGTGATTAGCCTGTATCCTCTTTGTGTAATACATGCATATATTTGCTGGGGTTAGAATTTCCGGGCAGATTTATGTATATTTTAATTTTATAACCTTTGAGCTAACTGATGCAATGTGATTCTTATTTACGAGTATTATCTATGATGATAGTTACATGATCAAATTAATTACTTTACATCACTGTCTTAATTGTACACATTATAATCCCGTGCCATAATCATGTCTCACAATGCTTTATTTTAGTTTAAACTTCACTCTGTTCATTTTATTCATTAAACAACCAATTTAGAATATTTAGTTCACCTAAATAAATGTTCATCTAATTTTCATATTTATCAATAGAAGGCCACATAAGATGATTTCCTTTGTGTATGATTACTCCTAGTATGAATGTTCTGCGACTTTTTGCATTAATCCCAAACTTTCTTTTTTCCCAGTAAGATGTTTTTATAGTCCTTCGTAATGTTTTCGTTTCCTGTGTGTTGTCTAACTCACTTCTGGACCATAAACATGTCAATATTTATACCCACTTCTATGCCAACTGATGAGAGTAAGACATCTGTCGAACGACACATATCCGTATAGCTTCTCTATGAAAGAATACCCCCCCCCCTCCAATCCCCTACTAGATGATTTTTACACAGTTGTTAATATTAAAATTTGGCAGAGATAATGATCTACCTTGGGCCTACCTCGATCTCACATCTCAACACATTTTCTAAAAGTCGCGCATAAATGGGTGGCACGGAGGCCGATTAAAGCGTCGTTATATGTTTGATATGTAGTCGTCCATCAATTACGAGTACGTTTTTTCTAGATGACAAACTACTATACAGCGAATAGCCGCTGTCGGGTTGAATGACATTGCTTTCATAAATATGCTTTAAGTTGACGTCACAGGAGCGCCCGTCACTAGAGAACGCGCCGAGTTATAGTGTGTTGTTTCATGTAAATAATAATCTTGCTTCAGATTCAATTTATACTATTTTTTTCTTATAAACATGTCTGGGTGAAGCATTCAGACGCATTGACACTAGAGGGCGTTTGTCGCATCTCGCTCCAGTACGATAGCTGGACGCAAAGATGTACTTATACTTTATTAAACACGTAAAATTCCCCAGGAGGAATTAAAATGGTTACATTTACACTAAACAAAACTAGACTAATAATACTAGTATTAATTAAATGTTAATTAATTGTAATTAAAATAAAGAATTTCTGATGTGTATTTCCGGTCCGTAACCTTATTTATGTGATTTTGTTATTGATTTTTTATTTAGTTATTTGTTTACTATAATACAAACACAAGGTAGAGAATATATTTTGTTTGTTTTTGGCTGGGCTTACTTGAACTTCAAACAGTGGCCAACATCATCCAGTTTCACTGCATTTATGTAGATAACATATTTATGTAATTCAAGGTCGTTACCGTCATATCCAGTACCATTGGACCAACACACCAAGATGCCCTTTGACCTCCCAGATAACATTCCTAGGTAAAGCATGATGATAATAAAGCTAGCGATTACTTTGAATAATATCACTCCCCGAAGAGTATTTTTTCAACAATGTTGTTATCATAAATTATCGTTAAATTATTAGCTCAAGTACAAGGGATAGTGATACTGATTTGCGCAATTATCGCGAGCTACATTAATATTTATAAGGGTGACGTAAGCTTCAAGAATTCACATTGAATACCCAGTATCCGGGGAGTGTGATCGCTTGTTTTAATAGGGCAGCGCTGACGTCACGACGTAATACAGTAGCAGCGAAGCAGGGCCCTCGTCATAGCTCTGTGTGCGGTTGGCAATAAGCATCATGGGTTGGTAAACAAAAACGTGGACATTTGAAACCGTGTTTCGCTACTCAAATTAAACTTAAAATCTTGAATAAAATAGTAGTTCTATTCTAAGACACAATTGCGGCGCAATTGTGGGTGATTCACCTTGTGTCCTTCAAATGACCCACCATGTGGGCGTGTCCAGCGTTTATAACAGCCAATGATAGAGCGGCTGTTGAATGAATTATTAAACACCCGGTATGCCAGTCTGACCGAGTGAGCAAGATTCGGCTTTATGCAAAAACACCGAGTTCCCAGTTCTGGGGGTTCATGGAGCCCAAAAAGCGAAACGTTTACTATTACGGGGAGAGCATTTTTGTTCTCTTGTATTGATGTAAGTCGACGTCTTATTGCAAAGTCTACGTTGCGACGACAGGATATGTTAAAATTGAAGTCAGTCGACGTCTACTTTCGACTCGGCTGAGTTCCTGCTGCCAGTACATTAACAACAAACTGAAGTATGGGGGACTGTAGCGACAACCATTTCAGGTTTACGAATGGAATCGATGCCGTGTTCGGACATAATCACAGCGACGTTTCTAGCAGTCCACCGGGAATGTGGTCGTCGTATGAAATTCCATCCAGGGAATGTCGCTCACCCGACGACTTCCAAAGCAATGGTTACTTCTCATACGGCAGTGGCAGCGGTGCCTCGTCAGGGGCTTCTTCTGGGGAGTCGTCGCCGATCAGTCCGTCAAGAAATCGTAGACCTTCTGGCAGTTCGCTAAAAGATCCTACGAAAACGCCGCCGGGTACACCAACAAGGCGTAAATCAGTCAAGTTCGCGGACGCCCTCGGCCTTGATTTGGAAACCGTTCGCCATATTCTGACAGACTCCGTACCCAAGGTACCAGACTGTGTATACAATTCATATAGCAGCCAGCAGGAATACGTTACACAAGACCATAATAGATATCTCGCTGCTTGTTTTTCTCAACCCAGTGCGGATTCGGACTTCATTCGTCGAGTTCATGAAAACAAAGTATGTCTAGAAAATGCTATCGTATCAGATTTGACAATCCTGGGCACTGTCAAGGTTGCAAATATCGGCTACCATAAATCTGTCAAAGTACGCTTCACAACGAACTCCTGGAAAAGTTACTACGATATTCCCGCGAGTTATGTGCAGGGATCTTGCGACGGACCCACTGACAGATTTTCATTTGGTCTGACTACTCCACGTGAGTTCCACGTCGGAGATCGCCTTGAATTCGCCATACTTTACGATGTGACGGGACAGCCGTTCTGGGACAGTAACCATGGAAATAACTATATCTTTGAGTGTTACAGTCAGGCCAATGACAGTGTGAATGACAGTGACGCCCTCTGGATGCACTTTGTGTAATGTATGCAGCCTTTTATGAACGGTAATATTTTAACTTTTCTTTAAAAATCAGGCGTTTGAATATGAAAGCTCGAGTTCTATTGCTTTAAAATACAGGTCAAATATATCATATTGCCAAGAAAAGCATCGTCATTGCCCTCTGCTACTCTACAT